CTATGTTAAAAAAATGTATTTCTTTTATGAGTTGATGAAAAGGTATACGGAGGGATATAGAAATCTCAACGCGTGTCATGGTCACAACTGCTTCTTCAGGAGAAATGGCAGAAACTGAAAATAAAGATAATTATATACATCAATAAAATGATTACAACATGATTTCAATTTAACAGTCTCAGGCTCGTTATATCCTAATACATACATACTGTATGTTTGACTTAGCTCAAGGAATAAGATAGCCACGTCTACAGATTCACAAGAGGTGGATGTCGGTGCATCAGACGGGCAGGCGTCAGGACATAATCAATGCAACCCCCTCAAATCCTACCAAGATTAAATAGACCATATAATCAGTATCAATATGTATACATAGAGAAGGACACAGCCGCATACCAATAATTAAGTACACCTACCAATTTAAGAGAGTATATCCCTCAGAATAGTGAAGCTGAATTAAAAATGGCTGATCGCAAACATAAATTTGAATACGTCTAAGAGCTCGATTACACGCAGGAATATAATTTCAAAAATTAGATCTAGATGGTATAGGGTTCCCCTGACACTACATAAACTTGTTCCCACTTGCAGCCCGCTTTGCTGGAGATGTGGAGGAGAGGAGGGATTTTTCCTACACATTATGGTGGTCGTGCCCGAAAATTGAGACCTTCTGGAGATCGGTCAAAGATTCCATCTCCGAAGTTACTGGAGACCAACTGGATTTTACTCCAGCTGCCATGTTTACTCCATCATACCACAGAGTCTCCCCGAAAATATAAGAAGTCGTTGAAATTTCACATGCTGAATGCAAAACTACTCCGACATATACTAACACCATGTCTGCTGCCACCCCCCCCCCCCCCCCCCATAGAGGGGCTTTTTGGCATCAATTAACCTACTCATGTAGCTTCTATCACTGGCTTGCTTTATCCTAGTGTCCTTCCTCCCTCTTTGTACCCTGTTGAAACTGGATAAAAGAAGAGTTGAGATTGTTTGTCTATATGCACCCTTGCTATTGGATCAGTATAGAGTAATTGTATCTATCTAATACATTTGGGTTCAAACCCCAAAAGACACAACAAGGCTATATTCACCAGACTCCTGCATTTTTTATTGGAGTTTCCTAATGTTTGTAGTGGTATGTTTGCATGATTAAAGCCTGTCTGGAATCCTGGATATTATAATTGAGAATTTTTTCAAATTACGTTGTCAATTTTGCAAGCAAGGCCTTTGATAGTATACTTTAGGGATCCGGCGAAACATATCGGCTGAAAATGGCACTTTTGTCTCAATGCCGAAAGTGCCATTTTCCTGCTGATACATCGGCACATCCCTGCTCTCTTTCCTCCCCGCTGGGCGCTGTTCTGTGTCCCAGCGGGGAAGAGAGAAAGTGTGGCAGCCGGCCGAGCGCTGCGGGAGGAGAGCGCTGTGAGCGGCCGGTGTCTCTCCTCCCACACCGCTCAACCTCCTATCACAGTCCGGCAGAGCGGTGCGTGGGCGGAGACACCCCACGCTGTCACAGGAAGCTGAGCTCTCCTCCCTGCACCGCTCGCTCAGCCTCCTGTGACAGCTGTCAGAGAGGAGAGCGGTACAAACACTCAGTGATCGCTGAGTGTTTGTACATAATTGAGGACATAGCATGTTGACTATATCCTCAATTATGAATGAATGGGAGCGATTCATAATTGTAGTTATAGTATGCACACTATGTTCTCAAGTTATGAATTAACAGGAACACTCATACAGGATTCCTGTTCATTGATAACAGGGGATACACTATCCAAATCATGCCGCCTTCACCTCCGTAACATCTCCAAAATACGCCCCTTCCTCACCAATGAAACCACAAAGCTGCTTATCCACTCCCTTGTTATCTCTCGTCTCGACTACTGTAACTCCCTCCTCATTTGCCTACCTCTACACCAACTATCCCCTCTTCAGTCTGTCATAAATGCTGCTGCCAGACTTATCCACCTAACCAACCGCTCAGTGTCTGCAACCCCCCTCTGTCAGGCCCTGCACTGGCTTCCAATAGCCCAAAGGGTAAAATTCAAAATATTAACAACCGCTTACAAAGCCATCCACAACTCTGCCCCCGTCTATATCTCAAACCTTGTCTCCAAGTATCACCCTAAACGCCCCCTACGCTCCTCCCAAGACCTCTTGCTCTCTAGCTCCCTTGTCAACTCCTCCCATGCTCGCCTCCAGGACTTCACCAGAGTCTCCCCCGTTCTGTGGAATTTATTACCCCAACCTGTCCGCCTATCTCCTACTCTGTCTACCTTTAGGCGATCCCTTAAGACTCATCTCTTCAGGGAAGCTTATCCAACCTAACCACTAAAATATCCATCTCTCAAACAATTCATCCCCACACAGCTACCTCCTCACGTATCACTTCCCCCTCCCGTTAGATTGTAAGCCCTCACAGGCAGGGCCCTCCTCACCATATTGTCTTGAATTGTATTGTAATTGTAATGTCTTCCTTATATTGTAAAGCGCTGCACAAACTGTTGGCGCTATATAAATCCTATATTGTAGTAATAATAATACAGAAAAAGAGATTGAGGACTTGATGTCCTCAATCTATTTTTCTATTTTAAAAGGGAAATATCAGGGGTCTGTTTAGACCCCCAATATTTCCCTGAAGCCCCTAAAAGTAAAGTAAAAAATAAAAATATTTAATAAAAAAATGAATTAATAAATAAAAACAAATATAAAACAATTAAAAAGTAAATAAAAATAAAATATTAAATAAAGATGAAAAAATTTAAATAAAAAACATTTTTGGTTTTGGCCTGACAATTTTTTTTTTTTTTTTTCGTTTTGGTTTTGAATTTTCCATTTTGGTGCATCCCTAGTATACTTACCTTTTGGGAAATATTTTTTGGTGACATGTCCTTTATGTAAAAACTCTATGGATTACCATGATTTTCCTAGTGTTTTTCTTCAAAGTGTGTTTTTCTATGATGACCAATAGGATTCAATACTGACTCTGTTGCTGAAGTGTCCTTTTCTCCAGCATGTAGACATACACAATTATTTATGTTTCATAGTTCATATAGAACACCTAAACATTTGTATGTTATGGGCCTCAAGGAGGAACTCTGCTGTACAAAGTGTGGTAGGGATCAGGGAGACATGCCTGTTCTGTATGTAAATGTGAATCAAACTACAAAGAAGACCTGTGAATTCAAAAGAAATTCATATACATAATAATAGTATCGTTACATCGCCACATACAGTTATCAGATGACATATTTTTACAATGGCAAGCCTTCTAATAAGAAATGTTCATGACTCACTTGTTAAAGAATATGAACAATATTAACCAGTTAATTACTTCGTAGTAAACCTATTTTCTTTTATGAGCAGCACATGGTATTGATAGCATTCTAGAGTTTTCCTTTCTTTGTTATATTAGATTTCCTTAGTCACATGTTCAGCAGCACATTTTCTGCGGAATATAGTATTCACAGTTTTTTTTATTCCATAAAGGGAAAATGAATAGCTAGCAACAGGCTGTTGTTCATAAGACTGTCTGGGCTCCCTGGAGTTTTGTCTTTTTTCCTCCAACAGTTTCTAGTTAGTAGCATGCACAGAGGTATTGGAATAACTACACATCATTAGCAAGATGGAACAGCAATGGAAAAAAGAACAGCACGATGAAAATGGTACATGTGACTGTGGTCTAATGTTAGTCTGCGGGATTTTAAAATATTGAGTTTTAACAAGTAGTACATTCATGGTGATTTGGAGACATGTTAATGACAGATTAAGATGCAGAATTATTTAACAGAGATGGAGTTATTATCTGTGAGGCTGTCACGTTGTTATAATTTGCATGTTTTTTCAAAGACCATCAATCAGAGTCACAAACAATGAGTTGATGTTCACACTTCTGATGGTAATAACATTTACCATTTAAGGCAGAACTCCAGGAGAATTATTTTTTTTTTATGTTCACACTACTATTAAAATAAGTTATCTCTAGTGATGATTATCCTAGGTCTGGATTACTGCTATTTGCTGTACAAATCTTAGCTTCATTAACACCGGAGACTACAGCCGGCGCTCTTATTACAGCTGCATAGCTGAGAGCGCTAGTTCTCATACAGTGGAGGGATCCTGTAGTTAAACCGGAATAAGCAATTTCAGTACAAGAGAAGAGCCTGTACAACTGTGCAAGACTAAAGGAGTGCAGTTTTAATCTTATAATTTTCTGGCAAAATTCAAATCAGGAATTTTGTTTGGTCACTACGCACAACAAGCCTTTTTGGTTCTCCATCTTATTTGATCAGTTTTGTATAAATAGGCAGTCATGTACATGAATTTGGGCCAGTTCGTATTCTGTCACTGCTTTGTAATCCCAATTCTGAATGGCTTCGATCTGATTGCCTTATTTTAAATCCCCGAATTTGTACATTTATTACTACTACTCTCCAAATGTTTTCCTGTGCTCTATACATAGTTATACATTTATATAACTTTCAAAGAATGATTACAGCTTTTTTTATTGCTGCCATGGCATACTGAGAGTACACACGTGAAGCTGTGTGAAGAAATCCTCTGGGAAAAAGTGTTCTAGGTGCAGTGCTGTTCCAGCGTATTTAATATGTAGTTTTTACTCCTACTGTTAATATGATACTTTAATATGATTCTTTCTCAGAATTTTTTTGTATATGGCCAGCATAGTTCAGGTAAATTGCTAACAGCATATTCTGGGAGCAGCCATATTTCAACAGTATAGTTGGTGCTGTCTGAAAATGCTGGGTGCTCAAATATCCCTAGGTTATTCCCGGTGGAGGCTATACCAACATGGAGAGAACAGCAGAGAAGGAACCCTCTTTATACCAACAGGTAGTAAGTATCAAGAAAGTAGGGATGCACCAATACTTTTCGAGTACCAATGCAGATACTTGGCATTTTCACAAGAACTACCAGGGTTGCAGAGGTTGCAGCTGGGACCTGGCTCTGGCACTCCACCACTGTCCTGAAATCATTAGTCTGTATTGTTTTAGAAAAACTGCCACATGACAATAAACATAAAAGTATCAGTACTTGTAAGTACTTGGGCAAGTATCAGTACTTGTACTTGCAAAAATGGTATCGGTGTGTAACGACCCGTTGGTTATGACTGGACTCTCAACTGCGGAGTGCACTTGTGACTTGACAGGGTTCAGATATGATTCCTTCCTTCACACTCCATTTAGTGGTTGATGGAGGGTTAGGAATCAGTAATCATCATTCCCTGCTGCTTAACAACTTATATGTATGGTCTGAGCAGATGAGTAAGTGTGGGTGCATACACCATGCGTCTCTACTTAATCCCGCATAAGTTAAGGTGACCCGTGAGCTGCGAATCCCCCCTGTCACCCCTGGTTCCACAGCGCTGCAGACTTGCAGTACCACTGAGATCGCAACCCACAGTTCACACAACAGCACTACAGCGGTTCTAATTAAACTCAGGGGTTTTGTTAAGGTTATTAGCTATTTAACTCCCAGTTCCAGGATCAATATTATTAGTACATGTATTTAGCTCTAGCAGTGATATCAGCAGTGAAGTGGTTAATAGTCAGCTGTAGCATAAGTGATAGCAGAGACACAGGCTGTGATAGCTCTTCCTTTGAAAAGTGAAGTCCACAAGCTAAGAAACACACATTATATGCACTCCAGACTTAGTGTTCAGAGATATGTCAGCAAACATCCAGATTGCTATCTCATTGCCATAGGCTACTTGCGCTTTTGGGGAGTCTCTCGTGGGTCCTTTAGGTGCAATGACTGCTTGGATCTCTCCTGGTCTTTGTTCAGCGTGCACCGTTTACAACGGTCGGACGCTGAACAAACCTTCCTGCTTCCTTAAATCCCTCCTCGCCGAGCGCGGCGGGGAGGAGCTGGGTCCCGTCCATGACGGAGCTGAAGGGGCGGAGCTGGCTGCCGTCCAGGACGGCCCTGAAGGGGCGGAGCTGGCTGCCGTTCTGAACGGCCCTGAAGGGGAGGAGCTAACGGCCGAGCTGGCCGTGATTGGCCCCGCCAGACAGCGCTGGACCGAGGACGGGTAAGTCTGTTACACGGTGCATCACTTTTATTTATAAAAACAAAATCATACATTAAAACAGAGATGTACAAATCCCAGGAGCTCCGTGTGCTCCTCACAAATTACAGCTGCCTCTTAACTTTTGAATTTTTCTCTAGTCTAGTCTTGGAGCTCGAAAAGTATCTGTTCTTGTACCGAGTACGGTACTTGGTATCGGTGCATCCCTACAAGAAAGAATAAATAATTTATTCCAAATAAATCGTAAACAGTCCTGGATGGCTCAACACTCCTTGTCCTGCAATGAGTGATCACCATATTTTTTTTGTTGCATTAATATCCAAACAGGAAACAATTTAACTTGGTTCTTTTGTGGTACAAATAATAATAAGAAAATTCTACCCCAGCATATTTTACTGCTGCTCAAGATATTCTATGCTCTGCTCTTTTCATCATATTCCAGTAGCAGCACTCCCCTGCATAAGCAGTATTACAAATGTGTTCTAGTTGAAGCCCATGCTTGTATATTTCAGGTACAGATCTGCCCAGCTCTAGGTTTTAATTGTTTTTATAGTTTTGACTTAACATGATTCTAGATGTAGCACTGGTCCAGACTTTTTCAGTTATTTATCTCCCATCACTTATTAACTGCAAGAAAAGTGCAAAATGTAATAGTTGGGTCAGCATAAGTACCCTGTGCAGTGCAGTTTTCCTGGAATGATTGCCCAGAATAGAAGAGAGAAAAAATACAGTCTTATTTCCTGGAATGATTGCCCAGAATAGAAGACAGAAAAAAATACAGTCTTATATCAATTATTTTTTTTAAAAAGGAGTGAATTATCTACATAGACTGCTTTGTCTCGGTCTACTCTGTTAAGATTTGCTTTGTTTTATAAACATAATCTGCTACATATCAGTTTTTGCTTTTTATTTTTTGTATTACTTATTTTTTGTATTACTGTTGACTGAGGATATTTAAAATACTGGTTTATACAAACCTGGATAAGAAATATGTTTGTGGCTAGTTGTAAATGCTAAACTGCTGTCTGAGAAAAGGTGAACCTGAATTAGATGGTTAGATCGATGAAATCAATAGGGAAAAACAGAATGCAAAATAGTTCTCTAGATTGGCCATTACTGAATAACATATCATTAAAATAGTGGTTAAAGTGTTATTTTTTTAAACAGGTTATTTGAGGAACTATATGAGGATCATGGTGACACTTTATCTCTTCAGTATGGAGGATCCCAGCTTGTTCATAGAGTGAAAACCTACAGAAAGATTGCTCCATGGACCCAGCATTCTAAGGACATTATGCAAACACTCTCTAGATACTATAGTAATGCATTTTCTGGTAAGCCTCAACATTCATAGTATTAAATGTGTATACTATAATAAAAATCTAGGACCTCATTTAAATATATTATTCAGTAGAACATTTTATCATTCAAAATAATTTTTTTGTTTTTGGTGCAGTTTCCTTAGATATTACTTATTGCATATCTGGTGTGACTATTCTACAGAACTTGATTACATAAGTGCTTAATACTGTACTAAACATCTCATATTCCACATTACACAAAATTGTGCCTTGAATGGCACTGAAAGCAGAACTAAAAAATGAAACCGAAAATATAGTTAAAGCCAAGCCACCTTCAATCTATACTATAGGGGTAAACAATGGTAACAACTCTTACTCTACTTTACTCTGGGTAAAATGGAGGAATTTGAATATATAAAGAGATTTTTTTCATGATTTCAGTCCTTAATTTTTCCCTTAAGTTGATCTATATTCTTTGTAATTGGTAATCCAACTAGCAACTCAGTAGTACTATGCAAGTCCTAAACAAGCCCAAATACATAGCAGGTGCGATAATATAGCCATGCAGGGAATGAATCTCATCTTGTCTTTTCTAAACACTGGGCAGCCTACACACCTGACTCCCTCCTCCCCTTCCTATTTCCTTTTCACTTTCCCTGTTCAATAACCCTGCATTGACTTTTAAACTGCCCACTTCCCAAAAACAAGAAGATTGATACCTTCCATCCAAGATATATTCCATCTCATTGGCACAGTATGCACACAGCTAAATTTGCAGTTAAAATATGTAGACTGCGATGTGACCATATTTCATGTTACACCCTAAACATGGGTGTAACATGAAAAGGTAAACTTAGCCTTTAAACAAATGGCTGGGAATCACCAAGAGCAGGACCTTTTTAAAACAAAAAGACTAGAGGAAATTTGTTGCAGGCTCAGTCCAAGTCTTGCAGTCAAAGGAACTTGGGTTGTAAAATCAAATGAAGGAGCTTATAAAGTATTTGCCATGTCCTTCAAAGAGACCCCATGTTTGCAGAGAGGGATATCCTATTCCAGTTCACAAAATATTGTAATCCTACATTTCTTTGGTCATATTTTTATAAATACTGCTAGGTGTTTCACCCAAGTTTGTCTCTGTGTATTTTTGGACCAAAGGCTTTGGATATATTTGTGATTTAAATGTCTATGCCACTGAGAGATTTAACTACCAAAATATCAGTGTGTAGTGATACTTAGAAACTCTTTGTAATGCTCTCTGTGGCAACATCATGATGATGTAAACCGTTATGAGAAGGTGAAATATCTGTTATTGATTTGTTTAAACAGCATTTGGCAGTCTCCAAGATATACAGGGACAGCAGCTTTTTCCTTTCAGTCTTGCATAAAAAAGTGTGAACATTTTGTCCTCTAAAGATCTGTCTCAAACGTGTGTCACAAAAATGGGTTGGAAATTGATTTTTTAGGTTACGTAGTATAGGTGGATTTTGGGTACTTGTACTATACCTCTTTTCATTTAGTCTAATGTTTAATATGATATTTTGACTGCACTTCCTATTTAGCCAATTCACCCACAACTAATATTTTATTTTTTGCTAAGTGCTGGAGAGTCTTCTTATATCTGTTGGGAACATTATTGACAGAAAGCTTATCTTCACTTCTTGGGTCATCACACCTGATGTAGCCATTTGTGAGGGGACAGAAGGTGCTGAAGCAAGTAGGAAAGGGACGTCTTGCTTTTTCTAGTACCCAAGACATATAAAAATCCAAGGACTCTCTAAATCCACCAGATTCTACTTGTTATAAAAATATCACTTTGGATGGATTTTCTCTTAAAACATTAAGAAAATTAAGGTATAGGATCATAAAATTCCAGATTTTCATAAAATTCCATATCTAGCATAGGTAACGAACAAGTACATTGGCTGTATTACTTACTTTTGCAAGAGGTGCATTAGTGCACAGATATTTATCATATACTGTATGCACTGTGTAAGTGATAGAAAAGCATGGCCATACCACACGCCACAGACAAGAAGGTGTGGTTAGAGATTCACTTGTAAATTGTTTATTCTAGCTTTCTTAAAAACATTTTTAATTTGACGTTCTAACATCTTATTTTGATATACTGTAAACCCATGGCTCTCCTCTGGGACCTAGCTACTTCACATAGGCATAGCACTGGTACTAGCATGCCCATCGGTTCACACAGCAATATCTCTGAACTTCTAGATTTCAGCAGCGCTGACATCCCCACTCACTGAAGCTGACATCACTGCTTAAATGCCTTTTTGCTTTCTCCTCACCTCCTCCAGCTTGTCGTACATGCCACTGAAGCACACTAGTTGTGAATGAGAAGTGATTTAATTGACTATGTCCGTGTGCAGTAAAGAGCCAAGTGCAAGGCTATTTTGTGCATCCTTGTACCAGAGATGAATTGAGACCGATAGCCTCTCAGCACATGTACAATGGTGAAATACTTGCATTTGTACAACTGCCCATGAACTCAGGCCTCTACTATCATTTCAGCTTCCAGTGTATGTGCAATTTTGACTTGAACCTGAGCCAGTATATGCACACTAAAGTATTTATATGTTCTGAACAAGCAGTAAAATCACTTTTAAATAAGTCATCGATGCCTCTGTAGCTTTAGACGTTGAGGGGAAATTAATTTTCAAAGTTCAAAACACAGCACAGAAATCTTAGTCATCAATTGTACTGAACAGGATACAGGATCTTAAGTCTTAACCATGGGTTTTATGCAACTACCTTCAGGTGACTGGACACTATTAAAAAAAACAAAAACTGCTGCAGGGACAGCCCCTATATAACCCCTCCCACCATGCAAGTGTCCTTTCTTTGATTTAAGTGTTCGTTTGCAATTCTTCCATGCAAATACTTAAAAGGGCATCCTCTTGCCCTTTTAAGGGGAACACCTTTCTGTTACAACCCTGGATCCCTACATCAAGGAAATATACAAGGAAATCAAAAGCAGTAAAGGTACTCTTCTTTTCCTGCAGGTATCCGTTCTGCTTCAGAAGCGAAGAAGAGTTTCTTTCATCTTTTTCAGGCTTCATGTCAAAACCTGCATCTCCATTCTGCATGAAGTCTTGGTCCACTAAGCCCAACAAGTCTGGGACCTAGTTCCCCTTGCAATAAGGGGGCTCCTTCACTTGCAAAAGTGGGAGGATGACTTTTGGCTTTTCGCACCCTGAGAAATTCCTGGCCTTTGGGTCTAGAATTGTGTCCACAATTACAAATTGGACTTTTAGTCTCTGCATCCACCATGCTGCATACTTTCAAACTTGCCCTTGTCCCCCAAAAATTGGGCAGACCTCTATCCTGCTCTTTCTTTCCAACAGCTATCATAACCCCCATTCTGGTGGAGGAAAGATTTCCAGGTTATTACTCAAACCTGTTCACAGTCCCTAAATAAGGGCATTCGCCCTATCTAGATTTGAAGCAGTGGGCAGGCAACATTATCAGTTTCCTATCCTTTCCTTTGGCCTGTCCATTGTGCCTTGGGTCTTCACCAAGGCGCCTTTCCTGGGCTTTACTCTCTCTGTGGGCCTTCACCCTCAAGGAATTCACATTGTGGGCTATCTGGATGATCTCCTCCTGAAAGATCAGTCAGCTCAGTTCTGTTGGCCAATGTCCAGCACATGGTGCAGACTGTTCAGGGATTCAGTTGGATTCTCAGTCTCCAAAAATCCACCTTGGATCAGATTCACCAATTAGAATATCTGAGCCTGGTCTTGGACACAGTCCTTTCCAGGGTGTTTACTCCATATGAGAGGCTACAGTCCCTTCGCTTACAAGTTTGAAACCTTCAGTCCTGGAGTCATCCCTCCATTAGCTTTTGTACGAGGGTCTGATGGTAGCCTTGTTCAAAGCAGTGCTGTTTCACTCCAGGCTGTTGCAACTCAATATCCTGGCTGCATGGAACAATGGTTCTCTGGGTTGTCCTATGCGCCTGACGACCATGTCTGGATGGGAAGCACCCCCAGAGATTTTGCAGCTCAAAATCTTATCCTGGTCTGGCCAGAATTTTATGTTTCGGTCCTCACTGCCTTGCACATCCTATATGTAGAAAATTAGCAGGTTTTCCCAGTCAACAACATTTGGACTTGCAGGCCACCTTTTGAACCTATTTGGGAAGTATGTAAAGCCAAAACTTTTTTTAGTTTTGTATATAGTAGGGAAGGATTAGAATTCCTATCAGCTTTTTATTGCTGCCTTTGTCCCCACTGGTTAGATTTACAGTTACATAGTTAGGTTGTAAAAAGTCTATTGAGATTAACCTATAGATCAACCCCATAGGATCGATTCACAAAGCTTTAACACAAGATACGTATTTTTATTTTCCCCATGTGATTGCAAATTTCATTGGAGTTATTTTTAAAATAAGTATTCTTATCCTGGTGTGTTGGCATTGTGAATTGAGCCTTATTTGTCTTGGTACCCATTGTTACTAGTACAGAAAGTGAGAGGAGATCCAAAAATGTTGAGATGTCAAAGCAAGAGGTGAGGGAATCTATTCCTGTGACAGCACTCCCTCATGAGTTCCCCTCACTTTGTAGGGATTACCTTTCATGATCTGTTGCATCTCCAAGGCAAGGAATGAAAGAAAAGCTCCCCAACAGATCACCAACACTTTAAATTAAAAAAAAAAAGTGTTGGTTATACAACACTTTAAGTAAAGGGTTGCAACTTGTAAGTCACGATGATGTTTCACCTTCATTTTTGCTTCATTGTAACTTTTTAATTTTGTTGCTCTTGCTATGCAATATTTGTAAAACATTTAATTCAGGTTACAAATGTAATTGTACTATTTTTTTAAGTCTTCAGTAAATGCCGACTGAACAATCACATGTGTTTTGATGAGTGAAAAAGTAAAGCTAATGTGCTTTACTGGATTGTCAATGTAGCTGCTGGGGGAAGAGTATACATGCTGGAGTTCTTAATTTATAAGTGACAAAACGTTTCCTTGTAAACCATTTGTGCTACTACACCCTAATTAAAGTGAACTGATCCAGATCACATCCCCTTCAAGCTTCATGCTTCCAACATTTTACTCAGTGTTCTTTGGTCTTCAGATCAACATTTTTAAATGTATATTCTCAAGCACCACAAGATAATCGGTACAACACAATTATGTAATAAATGCAAACAGTGAAGAGCATTACATAAGCTGATATTTGAACACTGGTGGGGCCATGTCCCCATGAATGAGATATTGTTGGGTTCATAAAGTATTTTCTGGAGATATCCTGGAAGGATTGGAAAAAGGATCAAAGTGAACCATTGGAATATTATGACTCTGTTTTGACTAAATTTTAAAAAGTTAACATGGTATGCAGTCTTTTTTCATACTTCAGAATTAAAATGTAGCAGTTTCACTTAAAATAATTTAATACAATGTATTTGTATTCCTTTCATGCAGATGCAGACAGACAGGATGCAATCAATCTTTTTTTGGGTGTTTTCCAGCCAAGTGAAGGAAAACCTCATCTATGGGAGCTACCCACTGACTTTTACTTGCATCATAAAAATACAATGAAACTACCCCATACAAAGAGAAGGTAATGGTTTGTTCTTATCACTGCACTAGCTAATGCTTGTTGTCATGTAATACAGAGTACGTTCTAAATTTCATATAATATTTATTAATAATGGATCAACAAATATATCTGGAGCAAGCGAAGGGCGCTGATTGAACAGCACCAATTGCGACAGATAAACACAGATATCCATGAGTAGTCACCACCTACTTTTTTTGTGAAATGTCTTCTAATCACAATAAGATTAGTGAAGTGTTTTTCAGACTGGTTGTAGGGACACTAGCAGTGCATGTTGTTCAGCTTTCTTCACAGTGAAATAAACAGAACATGGTAATAACCTAATTAAATCGTTATTTCTTCTGTGTTCCTACATGAACGCATCTAAAGCTTTCTGTGTTTTTAGACAAGGGGTTTTCCTAGCAAGTAGTAGAATTTCTATACAAAAAAAAAGCTTTCCTAGAGGTTAGCAAGAGGTGGCACTTTGCCCTATAGACAACAGGTAAAAAGTAATGTCAATTTTTTTTGTGCAATTTATTTACTTGTAGGGTTAACCACCAGGTTTGTGTTAAAGAGAGTCAAAACTGTAGAAGCAGGGTCATTAACTGCAGGCTCCCTGCAGCTGCCCCACAACAAACTTGGGGCTTGTGTTGATTGATGTTAGGGTTGTGTCAGTGGCATCAGTTGGACATCAGTTTGAGATGCTTCTGAGATCATTCAGAATTCATTAATGCATTGTTGCATTTGACTTGCATTTTTAACTCCTGATCTGCATTTGACCTCATCTGCAAAACTCATCTGATGTGAACTGAGTCTATCGACTCATGCCCTTACTATGCCTTGTTCCGCATCGTAGAGGCAGACATCTTGGTAGAGGTGCAGTGCTTTGCTTCCTTTTGTCAGAACTGCCACCTGACTGGTGATCTGATGACTGGTGGGGTAATGATCTAGAAGGAGAGTTAGGAGAAGTACAAATCCACCTAATGGATGAAGCTGAGGTACAGCTTCATCTCTAGTGAGAACAGTGAGTAGCACAGTAGTGACATTACCAGATCTTGTGAGACTAGCACTCAGAGATAGCAGAGGCTTAGATGTACTGCAGATATACACAGGGCCATCTTTACCACAAGGCAAAAGGGGCAACTGCCCTGAGCCCTATAATTTACAGGGGCCCACAGGAGCTGTCCTTTACGCCCAGAGCAGTAGGCAGGAGAGCAGCGGCACCGCTGGTGGCAGGGGGACTTAACATTTTTTTAAATATTTGGCTGCCGTAAGGTCCCGCACTTTCTGGGGACCTTTGCAGCAGCTTTCTGGGGAACCACAGCAGCACCTGTTTACAGCGTCAGCCCGTATATCTGACCCTGCTGCGATCTGCCAAATCTGCCCTGTTGTGATCAGCTTTACTTCTTCTCCTGCGATCTGCCACATCTGCCCTGCTGTGATCTGCCACATCTGCTCTGCTGCAATTTGCCACATCTGTCCCTGCTGCCAACTTCCACATTTCCCTGTTGATCCTGCCAGTTTTCAGTTCTCATCATAAGTTCCAGTTTATCGCTGCTGTTGAATTAGAGTTCCTGTCAGCATTGGTGCCCCCCCACTTCTAATTAAAGGTATGGACAATGTTGCCGTTGTACACTTGTGAAGAAATGACATGTCGCATCATTTGCCTGCCAGCAGCCTTTAGAACTTGTGCTAGCTGGATTGGGAACTGTACTCTGAGTGAGCAGTAAGTCACTTTTGACTGTAACGTCAGAGCTCCTGAGTTACACGACCACCACTCGCACAGCAATGTTTGTGCCACGGAGGCTTTGCGGTAATATGACCACGCATAAACTGTGATAAATAAGGTACATTTTTAAATGTTTATAACATTGCATGTTAAATACTGTAACAGTGCTGTCAGTGAAATTGCCCTGTTTGATGAGGTTATCCTTTAGAACTACGTTAACATTTTTAGATGTTCGCTATAAAACATCATGTACCGCTGGGTAGTAGATCATGTACCGTAGGGTAATATCACCACCTGTAGGAGGACGCTAGGCACCAAACAAAAGATAAAGACAGCCTAGGCGGGGCCTCTGCAGGATATAAGGCTGCTACTCTGTCTTCTGTTACCTTTCATGATCTGTTGCATCTCCTCTGTTGGGGATATTGGTTTTGTGCCCACCCCTCTTCCTGTTACTGCTTTGTGACATCCCTACGGTACATGATCTACAATCTGTTTCCTGTGTCCTTCAATGAACGGAAGAGAAAATAGGATTTTTGTACTCACCGTAAAATCCTTTTTCTCTCCGTTCATTGAAGGACACAGGTCCCGCCCTCTTTATTGGGATGTATATTTCTAACTGCTTGTTCCTTACTGGAGACTTGTCAGCAGGTGGGGGGTTTGGCCACCAGCGGGGGGCGCCCCTAGGCTGTAATTGGTCTTTTGTTTTGTGCCTGGCGTCCTTCTCCTACAGGTGGTGATATTACCCTACGGTACATGATCTACGATCTGTTTCCAGTGTCCTTCAATGAACGGAGAGAAAAGGGTTTTGCGGTGAGTACAAAAATCCTACTATTTCAGCAACTAATGAGAACAACGGGGGAGCAAAGGAAAGGTTGAGAACAATTCATAACAAAAAAAATGCATAAACATAAGCTGTTTGGAAAATACACATTATATAGAAATTACTGTTATCAGTATACTTGTACTCACTTGGCAAGAACAGCATTTATGCAATAGCTATTCCTATAATGTGCTTTGTGCGTTGTATTTTTCTCAAAGGCCTCTCTACATTTTCTAATTTAAATGCTTGAAAGCCATTTAGAGTTCTCAGTTATTTTATTTCCACAAACTCCAATTTGCTAAGGAATTCAGCAGTATTACAAATTCCATCATAAATAGAATGCTTTTTAGAGAAAATGTTGTGATTTATTCCTGTTTTCTTAAAGAAACCATGTAATCGTATTGGCCTGTATGCCCTGTTCAGTGATTAGGTTCAGGTTTTCAGTAACAGTAGCATCAGCTTTCAGAACTCATCCTGATTTTTCATCCTGATGTCAACAATTATTTAAAATGCATGCATATTTAGGTCTCTTGTCTAGCACTTTTTTTTTTTTTTAGCTGGCTCAAATGTGTATTGTGACAGGCCAGTTATAGGTAACGCTTTGAATAGGAAATTGAAACACACTGTAAAGTGACATTAAACCCTCAGATTTTTTAACATAAACCAATACTGTAATGTGTGCCTTACTGTAATCCATGGTTGTTTCCCTTCGCTTTGCTGCTCTTCCTTTTAAATCTGTATCTGTTCTCATGCTCTGCAGAACTTCTGTTTTGCAGCAGACTGCCTTGTCTCAGGAATGGATACATGGTGTCTGTGTATACGTTTGTATAGGCTTGAAACCTGAGCCAGCACTACAGGAAGAGGCCCTGAGCTGAAAAGGGAAGTTCTCCCCAAGCATGAGAAGACATGAGGATTTAAAAGGAAGAGAAGCAAAGAGAAGGGAAACAACCATGGATTACGGTAAGGCACACATTACAGTATTGGTTTATGTTAAAAAATCTGAGGGTTTAATGTCACTTTAACAGGTGAGAAATCACTAACTAGGGGTGAAACTGGACCGTAGAGTCAGGAAAGGTATTGCTATCACCTACAGTTTTCACCCATGCAAGTTGAGGAGCTCCAGGAAACTGGGTTTTCCGTTTCCTCTGGGATTTGTAAATCCAGGGCTCAATCCAGGATGTACAAATCCCAGAGGAAACTGAAAACCCAGTTTCCTCCGTATGAAAGGAGCATCCTAAAGCCCAGAGGCTTTTTAGAGTAATGAGTGGGATGAAGCCACCAGGCCTGGGTCCATTTTTTGGTGGTGATCAGCACCTGCTGATTGTGCAGCTATACACTGTCCTTATGGTATGTGCTTACTAGTGTTCTTATGCTCCAGCCAGGAGTCTGAAGGGCTACACACAGGAGTCAGGGCAGGAGCCAGTGCAGCCAGAGTTGGTGCTTGTGTGAGAGAATACCATCTAAAGGAGTAAACAGGGATCTGAAGTAAAAGCCAGGAAGCTGGAGAAGTATTTTTGCGTTTTGGTTTGTGGCAATAGTGGAAGTGGAATGCTGAAAACCACATGCAAGGGTAACCTTTTGTGTCTGAACTGAACTTTATTTTAATGAAAGGAAGAGTTGGCAAGTGGCTGCATCCTTAATGCTCCTACCAGTTAAAGCTAGTTCCCACAATTGGTGGCTCGGAGCGAGCAATGAGCCAGCGCTCTTGAAGAGACAGCTCCCACAGTATAAGTCCCTGATTTGCAACTCAATGAACGTTGTTACATAGTTAAATAGTATTTGGGGTTGAATAAAGACATGAACATGTTTAAATTCAGTAGCCTTGTCTCATAGCTCTGGTCCTCCATTCCCCTAAACAGTTTGGTTGCCCTCCGCTGGACTCTCTCCAGCTCAAGGACATCTTTTCTTAGTACTGGTGACCAAAACTGGACCGCGTACTCCAGATGAGGCCGAACCAATGATCTACAAAAGTGGCACAATTATAGACTTGTCTTTGGAATACATCCCCTTCTTAATACAGGACAAGACCCTACTAGCTTTGTTTACAGCAGCCTGGCACTGCAAGCTACCATTCAGTTTGTGGTCTACAATGACCCCCAAATCTTTTTCTATTTCTGACTTCCCTAGTGACATACCCATAATTGTATAATTAATTTGTTTATTTTTATTTCCAAAGTGCATTACTTTGCATTTATCAACATTAAACCTCATCTGCCATATAGTTGCCCACTCCCCTTTTTTTATCCAGGCCCTCCTGTAATGTTATACTGTCACGGTCCGTTTCTAATACCCGCCCTATTTTTGTATCGTCTGCAAACACTGAAACATGGCTATTCACTCCCTCCCCGATATCATTAATAAATAGGTTGAACAATATGGGACCCAGCACAGATCCTTGAGGCACACCGCTCATTAAAGTAGCCCAGTCTGAAAAGGCGCCATTTACAGATACCCTCTGGACACGTTCCCGTAGCC